GGAGGCTATTGTGTCGGCTGTTGTCATTTTTCAATTGGAGCATCTAAGGGAAAAGAGGTCAGTGCCCCTGACTAAATGGTTGGGCATCGCATGCTTTAAAGATTCTTGTGGTGCACCCGCGTGGGGCCGCGCACCAGTTGCCGACCCCTGTCCTAGGCGAGTTCTGCATTGTATGGCTATTGTATCATCAGCACAATGGGCCACACTACCCCTGCCCTTTTTCTCCAGGCAACACCTTTAAAAATAACCTTCTTTTAAACAGCACTAGTCCCACCCCCCCTCCTTTTCCTGGTATCACTGTTCATCGATTTTACCACCGTGGTCACCACCATCATCACTACAGAGCACTTCACCATCTTTAAGAAATTGTCCTATTCCAGGCATTTCTTAGGCGTTGTACTTTACACCAACTTAGACAGGAAGGAGCAACTGTTCTTAATCCCGCTTCACAGGTGAGAGACCCAAGACCCGGTGCTGTTCAGAAAATGTGTGCGAGGTGTCACAACCGACTGTTTCATTTCATTTTGACTCTTTTCCCTAGGGCCTGGGTGCGCACACACATGTTCTCCAGGGCTAGACTCTATGGGTGACTCTCTTCACAGGCTGTGGTCCTGCTCTTCAAAGCCCATCATTTCTGGCGCATGATTAGGTTGGGCAGACGGTAGGGGTGGTTCAGTAGTTGGGCGGACTTAGGTCAATTTTTTGGTGACACAGTATTCTGATTTTTAAAATTATTCTACTTGCATTCAGGTTGCTAGATCGGTCCTGCTGAATGTTACACACTCAATCAATCTGTAATTAGTCTTATATTGTTGCTGTGACAGATTAGCCCAAATGTAGTGGCTTAAATCAATGTGGATTTATTCTTTCAGTTCTGTAGTTCAGAAGTCTGGAATAAGCCTAAAATCAGGGTCCCTGTGCCACGGAAGGTAAAGTTGGCAGGTGCTGGGGATTCCCACGAGCACCTCTTTGGGGGGCCATTGCTCTGTGCGCCACACTGTTCTTGCAACAGATTTTTATTGAGCAATTACTAAGTGCAGCAAACTGTGCGGGGCTCCGGGGAAATCCAATGGCCCAGCGTGTGTTCGAGGCATAAAACAGCCAGGTTACTGTTGTCGGGGCGTTCACACCTTCACAGAAGGGGCAAACCCTTTGGGTGGTGGTTACAATTCAGCCTGCGGTTTCTCTAGCCTATTTTCCTCCCCTCCCCTCCTTTCTCTTCCTCTCCCTTCCCCTTTCCCTCCCTCCTGGCGTCAGCTGAACACCGCAGATGGTTTCTCGATTCGCTTAGTCAGGGACAGACTGTGTCGTTTTGAACTCCTGGTAGATGAGGACATGGGGACACAGGTACAGGATGGGCAGGAAGCGGGCCTGAGGTTTTTGACTGATGTGTAGATAACGAATAGGTGGGCCACTGTGGCCTCTTTTCAATGCGGTCTCATCTGTCACGTCCGTCCCCCCTGGGGCCTGACCCCTGTGGCTGTCACTGCTGGGTCTGTCCTGCAGCTTCTCCACACTGAGGGCCCCGTTCACCCCTCCACCCGTGGCACTCGTGTCCCAGGGCCCACGGCTCGCTTCCCACCACTTCCATGTTACCAGGATCTGAAAGGCATGGAGGGCAGGGCACAAAGGGTGCGGGGTCCTGCTGGTGAGGAATTAGCTGGTTGCACGGCAGCAGTTTGATCCAAAGTAACAGGAGCCCGGGAGTATCAGCGAGACACGAGACACGGGGAAGAGTGGTAAGAACTTGGGCTTAACGACAGACGGAGCTGGGGCTGAGTGCTCCCGTTCCCACTTCCTCGCCGGGCAGCCCGGGCACACCCCGTGACTTCTCCTCGTCTCGGTGTCCTCACCTGCACAATGAACGCACCCGGGGCACCGTCACAGAGACTGTGCGCGCCTAGGATGTGACCCGCACACCAGGTGTGCGCCCGGCAGGAAGGAGGCAGCGACAGTGGGCCAGAGGCAGAGCTGCTGCCCCACGGGCCTGCCTCCCGGTTAGAAAGTCTGTGCAGACCTATGTCTTGCATCCTGGTCCTCAGCTATGACGTGCGGACAATACCACCGCCTACTTCACAGGACTACGTGGTGACTCTGTACGGCATTTAGAACAGCACAGGCACCTTGCAGACTCAGAAGGTACCTTATGAGGATGGCTGGGAGCAGGGTTGACATTCTGTGACAACAACTAGGAGTTGTTTTACAGAGAAGGGGATGGAGCCGGGAGCTGGACGGAGCTGGTGTTGAAGGGCCGGCGGGGTGGAAAGGATGAGCGAGGACAGAGGTGCAGAGGTGGGGAGGTTGAGGGGGGGTCGGGGGGAGTCCGTCTCTCCTTCCGGCGGCAGTGGGGGGCCCCGAGGATACTAGTGGAAGTCCAGGAGGGCTCTTGGAGAATCCCAGAGTGCTAAGTGAAACTGTTTGCCTAACGGTGTAGGCGATGTGGAGACCGCAGCTGGGGGATAACCTGACTAGAGGTGTTCACTGGGAAAACTAGCGTGGCCATGGAGTAAGGAGCATCTGACTGTCCATCGGGGAGGCAAGCGGGAAGCCGGTGGCACTTCATTTGTGTATCCGACAAATACTTCTGTGTTAGGTGGGAGGGCCGACCCCGGACATCGGGGGTACAGTGGTGCACAGGACAGAGCCTGTCCCCCGGGAGGTTAGAGCCCAGTGGGCACTCCCACTCCGTCACTTAAAACAAGGCAGGTTCACTGAGGGGGGCTGCTGGCGCATTGACAAGAGGGGCGAGAGGAAGGGGTCAGGGACGGCTTCCCCGCAGCCGGGACGTGTGCGCCGAGACCTGCAGGATGAGGAGTCCGCCCAGCTGCAGGACAAGGGAGACATTGCATGTGTGTGTGTGTGTGGGGGGGGGGGTGACAGGGTTGTCTTTGTCTTCTAGAAAGGCGTCTCTGGCATCAGTGCAGGGAATGTACTGGGAGTAGGGCAACAGCAGATCGGGTTGGACTAACTGGGGAGTTATAGCAGGAGCTGCATCAAAAGATGGTTTGACGTGGCTGGCGTAGCTCAGGGGATTGAGCGCGGGCTGCGAACCAAAGTGTCGCAGGTTCGATTCCCAGTCAGGGTACATGCCTGGGTTGCAGGCCATGACCCCCAGCAACCATACATTGATGTTTCTCTCTCTCTCTATCTCCCTCCCTTCCCTCTCTAAAAATAAATAAATAAAATTTTTTAAAAAAAAGATGGTTTGACTTTGGGTAGTGGGCACACAAGGCAATACGCAGGTCCTGTATGAGGGAAATGAAACCTATGTGATCTTATTAAGCAATGGCACCCCAACACATTGAATTAAAAAAGGGTAAATTTAAACATTTAGTTCCAACCTCCAGAAAAAATAGAGAGAGATGATTTTGTGACTACTTTCTGCAATGATACCGTTACACAAAGAACTCGGTGAGTCTCCCAGACAAGGGAAGCCAGACACACAGGAGAAGGTACGTGTGATCCCATTTATGTGAAGTTCAAGAGTGGAACTGTGCATAAATGCCCTCATCGGTGGTGGTCGATTACAGGGTGGTGGCTACATGGGGGGGTTGGGGTTTGACTGGGAGGGTCATGAAGAAGGCTTTTGGCAGGGCGGAAATTATTTTCATCTGGATCTTTACCCACCTTTAGTAGGCAGGTAGTTCTACCTACTAATTTTGTAGGTGTAATTAGTGGGCCATGAAAAGGATATTTTGAGCATGAATTCAATAGAATATAAAGATACACTTTTTAGAGTGAACATTTTGGGACTCCGTGTCGTGGCAGGCGTGACGTTTACGTAACATGATGTTCTTTAAGGAAGTCTCAGCAACCCACCCCCTTGCCTTTGTGCAGACGTGTTGCCTTTGCCCTTTTCTCAGACGGCAAACATCGCCAGTGCAGTCTTCGACGCTAGTTGAACACATGGGAAGTATTTTTGTTTAAATTGCAATTAATGAACTCTTCTAGAAGCCAGAGGAGCCCTCAGTTTCTCAGGTGGAGTCAGGGGAAATGGAACAGCCACCCGGGCCCTTGTGTGTCTCTCTCCGCTGCTTAACGACAGTCAGTCCGCAGACTCCTGGTCGCTGGGTGGGTCCCACAGTGTTCAACAGACTTCATCTCAATGAGAATACAAAGGGGATGGCAAACAGAACAGAAGCCTGTTGTGTGATATGCAGAAAAACTAGGATCTGGGAAAGGAGGCAGAGAATTTTATTTGATTTTGTAATTTCTTTTTTTTTTTACAGGACGCTTCTGAAAATCTGTATTGTGAGACCTAACTGGGTTCCCTAGGCCGCGGTTATTGGGAGCACGGGAAGGGCATCGTGGCCACATTCGTGCAGCTTCCCACCACCTGCGTTCCCGTTAAAAACCGTCCAGCACGGTATAATGCACGCAGGGTATACCGAGCAGCTCTCTCCGAATAACAGTCATATTGATGAGACTGACATGAGCCATCATTTTTATTAACACTTCTTTTAAATGTAGCAGGCACAGTGGTAAACATTTGAGGTGTCTTAGCTCACCTGCTTCCCACAATTAACTTTGAAGGAGGGATTTTAGGGATCTGATTATACTCCTGTTCTGGGCGAGAACGATCAAGCTCAGACTAGGGGGACCGGCCACCCACGTTTCCCCAGGATGCGGGGCTCTCAGTGCTGGTACCGAGAAAGTCCTGGGTGAACTCGGGTGAGTGAGTCACCTTATGAATGTGACTTGTTTTGATTTTTCATCGGTAGAAGGATTTAAACCTCTTCCCCCCTTGGCTGGCCAGATTCCCTGCCGATTGCCAGCCCAGCATAGTGATTACACAGGAAAGGCGTGCTTTGGCAGCGCAGGAGGGAAGGGACTCAGGTGGACACTGGGAATATCGTGTCACCTCATGTAATTGAAAATGTCATGTTGCCTCTTGCGGTCCCCGAACCGCCGAGCGAGTGAGGCAAGGCGCCCCTTCATGGCACTTCCAAAGAGCTTGCGCGTCGCCAGAATCTGGCTTTCCCGCGTGCAAACCCACTCACCTGGGACAGCGGGTAGAGGTGACACAAGGCCTGTCCAGGCTCCTGGTGACAGAACTTCAGGGTGTGACACACCACATCAGCATTCATGTCAGCGTCCAGCCTGGAGGGAAACGGGGCGAAACAAAAGCCGTTAAGATCTCTGGGGCGTTAGACAAATAGAAGCTATTTCCAAGGCAGGTACGTCCAAGAATGGATTCTAATACCCTCCCCCATTGCACCGTGGCCTCTGAGTTCAGTTCTGTGGATGCTGGATTCCAACGATTTCCTGCCACCTTGGTCCCACCTACATTTAGAATAAGGTCTTGGGAGCGGGGGTGGGGGGGGGGGCTCGAACGGCTGGAACCGTGTCAGCTTCCCACAGGAGCAGAAGATTCTTTTCAGCAGAAACCACAAATAGAACCGCGAACGGAAAATGGACAGGCGTCTAATTTCATGGGAACGATATTTTAAAGTTTACTGGGCCTTATAGCAGGAAATCATTTATGATACAGCCTTACACTCTTAACATTATTTTCTTACGCATAATCCAAACCATCTCTTCCCTTTCAAGTAAGTATACCTTTACCTTATGGCAGAAAGTATAATTGAGTTGGCTTTTGCCCCTGGGGATGGTGTAAGAATCGTATTCTTCAAATGTTCTGCCTTATGTTGAGGTTTGCAGGGGCTGAAAGAAACCTTCCACGCCCACTTTCTGGCCGACACCTGTCCTTACCGAGAAGAGTTGGCGTAATGTGCCGCCTCAGATGAAGGAGCAGGCGAGGGGGGACTCGTCGTCATTTCCCACGTACATTATTCGTTCAAACCCAACTCAAACCACACCCGAACAACACAGACAAAGAGTAGTTGGAGGGACAGTTACAGATTCTAGAAGATACTTTAGGGGCTTTTCTCCAGATCATACGATCAGGTAACGGTCCCCCCTCATCCGCGGGGCCGGTGACTGGCCACTGTGTTTATGCTTCCTAACTCCCCGCCAGTCGACTGGACCTGACGGGACTCCTGTTCAATCAGATTCTCTCTCTTGGAAACTTGCAGCTGGTAGGATTAAGTGTGACTTCACTCTGGGCTCTTTCCAGAATCACGGGAGGAGCAGGGTGACCGGAGACTGTGACGTCACTCCCGGCCATGTGGACTGAGCACTGGAGCACTGAGCCAGCCCGTAGGATGGCTTCGGAGGGCAGAGCCCAGTGTGTGCAGCAGGGAAGCCTGGGGAGCAGGGGACCCCGTGTTCCCGGTGGCTTCCCGGTCCTGCTCCTCACCCCTGTCCGAGGCCTGGAGGGTCTCCTGCCGTGAGTTCCACGATAGGCCGTGGGTTCCCTTATAATGAACCCCCCCACCCCCCCACTATTACAATGACCACGTCTACAACGCTTGCAGTGACTACCATTTGCTTCTCTCCCTGACCCTTCTCCTCCTCCTCCTCCTCCTCCTTCACAAGCAGGGCCATGTGTTTCCGTTGTTATGTTTTGTTTGTTTATTTGACTGACAGCAGTCACAGCCCATACACGGGGCGGCCCTTGAGAACGACAGGCCAGCCGGCTCCCGGGGCCTCGGGCCCAGCTGTCAGTCACAGGAGCCACGCCCCCGACTCCACCCCCACCCCTGTTTACTTCCTGGGCGTGCAGAATAACGATGGAGCTTTAGAAAGGTAAGAGAACACCGAGATGGCAACAAAAAGGCATGGCACCCTGGTTCCACTTTAGTGGGTAAGGAGCCGTTTTAATGATTTCTGGACGTTAGCATGTCATTTAAGATCTTTAACAGTCTGACCTTTGAACCGCCAACTGGAAAGTGCCCGGGGGGGTGGCGGGGGGCGGGAACCGTGAGAATTTCTATCATGAAACTTTCTGCAGGAAGAACTGCCTCATATTGATGAAAATGTATCTTATCAAAGGCCACCAGAGAAGGAGGGGCCACCTCGGAGACCTTCAAATATTTTGATGGTCACTGCCATGCGAGAACATAGGCTGGGACTGCGGGCTCCCCAATTTCACCCCAGCTGAGCGAGACTAACAGTGGGACCGGCAAGACGGCTTCTCAGCCCTTTGTGAGCGCCGGAGGTAAGAGGGGAAGAGAGAGTTTGTCCGCCGGGTCATCTGCTTGGCCCCGGGATGGTGGAGAGGGAGGAACTTAAGGCATAAAGAGGCCACAGCTTCCAAGCTGTGGGACAGGCTGCGTGTGGCAGATGGAAGGCCCATTAGCAAACTGGTGTCCACCAAGGGTCCCTGATCGGGAGAAGGTGGCTGTTTTCACACATGTGCCCTCCACGGAGGGGTCCATTTGTTTAACTGAAGACTTCCGTCTTATGGGGGTCTAGCATTTAGTGGACTTGGGAGGGCGATAAAGAAATGCGTTCTGTTTAACCTTGCTTTCTTATTTGTGTATTTATTCTTCCTTTATTTATGTCTACAGTCAATATCCAGTCTGTGGCAGTCCAGGACCACCAGAGCCAACTCAGCAGACGGTGTCCCAAACCTGCTCTCTTCCCTCCCTCCCCGAACAGAGCACACTGTCGAGTAAGTGAACTTGAATGTGGGAGTGGAGATGGGGCCCTGCGGTCAGAGAGTGAGGCTGGCGTTCTCCGCGCTGAGGAGTGGAGGAGGGGGCCGGGCGCCTGGTGTCCCTCCCAGGGTCCTCTAAGACCGGGGCTTCACGGTTAGAGAGTAAAAGTGAGAAGTACTCCCCTGGACAGGATTGAAGATGTGAAGCCTCTTAGGCCCAGGAAAGACTGTTGGAGAATGTATGAGATGCAGTGCAGCCCCTGTGCTCTCGGCCAGGCTTGGGGCAGGAGGCCTAAGCTACACACCGTTTGTGAAATCCTCACGAAATCTCCAAAAGTGTAATTGCCATTCCCACCCACTGCTGTTTTCTTTGTCCCAGAGCGGCAGATAGGACCCAAACGTCATGGTTTAATAATGTGCTGTGCTTCCTCCTGCTGCCTTTACAAGGACAGAGGTGTGTGGGAGTGAGGTGCGTGTGGGGGGGGGGGCGGGGAGCAGACTTCAACACATTTGGCAGAGCTAATTAGCACCTTTAATTAGGATTGCCGTAGAATGAAGTCAGTGATGATGACCGTCATCATAAACCAAAAGAAGGGATCAAGGTCAGGGTTAAGTTAGCAGACAGAGTGACAGCCTTTCACGCGTGAAAACGAACAAATTCAGGCCTTTTCATTTTATTTTTAGTTTTCAAATCCTCAGCAGCAGATATGTTTATTGATCTCAGAGAGAGAGGAAAGGAGAGAGAGAGAAACATCAATTGGTTGCCTCCGTACGTGCCCCGACCAGGGATAGAACCCACAACATAGGCAGGTTGCCCTGACCGGGATCCAGCCCGCAACCTTTCGGTGTGCGGGATGATGCTCCAGTCAGCCGGGTCCCTAGCCGGGGCAAATTTAGACATTTGACCTCACTTCCAAGGAGGCTTCATATATTAGTATAAATAACAGTCGCAGGGATACACTCACACCAATGACAGAAGTTTTTTCCTCTTGCAACGTTCTACTTTTATCCCCTTTCTGGATCCCAATCCCTAGCGTGTACCATGGATTTAAGCATTCCTGTAAATCCTGTCATTATCATGTGAATGGCACGGTTGTATTGTTTTGCATTTTTGCTGTCTAAAACATCATTAATTACCTTTCCAGGGTATCATAATTGTTAGAAATCCCATTTTTTAAAAGATTTTAATTATTTATTTTTAGAGAGGGAAGGGAAGGAGATAGAGAGAGAGAGAAACATCAATGTGCGGTTGCTGGGGGTCATGGCCTGCAACCCAGGCATGTGCCCTGACTGGGAATCGAACCTGCGACACTTTGGTTCACAGCCCGCGCTCAATCTACTGAGCTACGCCAGCCAGGGCCCCATTTTGCATTTTTCTTCTAAAAATGTTAGCTGCTGAGGCTTTTCCTGATCTCTGAGAGCTCCCGGGTTCAGAATACAAGTTTCTGTGATTTAGCGGGAAGCGTAAACAGATTCCAGGAAGTGCGGTAAGAGGAACCGAGGACGGATGGGGTTTGCCATGGCAACCTGGGGCACAGTGGAGGTCTAGCCCAGGTACAGGAGGACCCAGCGTGTGGTCCCCGGCTCGGATTGGGTGCTCTTTGAGGTGGTCCTCCCTGCATGGCCCAGCTTCTTGCAGGGCGGGGGCGGGGGTGATAAACCTGAATGCCCAGGTGCCCCACCTCCTAACAACACCTGTGGCTTGCCTGCGGGGAAGAAATGTACTTGCTGAATAATTAGTCCATGAATCACTGAGAACTGACTGGTGGGAAATCATGAGCAGGAGTGATGCTTTTGGGTGACGAAACTGTTGGAAGCCTGAAGTTCAGGTAAAACCAAATCATGAGGTTGTCCCTCCCAGGGCCCACTTCAGCCCAGAACCGTATCTGGTTTTTTTAACAGATTTTATTTATTTATTTTTAGAAAGGGGAAGGGTGGGAGAAAGAGACGGAGAGAAACATCAGTCCGTTGCCCCTGGCGTGCACTCCAGCCAGGGACCAGACCAGCAACCCGGGCACGGGCTGACCAGGCATCGAGCCTGTGACTTCTGTTTCACGGGATGATACCTGACCCACTGAGCCACGCTGGTCAGGGCAAGGACTGTGTCTGGTTGATTAAAACACCTTGTCAGAAGAGCACACCACAAGGGGAGAAATTTCAATCAGCAAACCGCTAATATGGGTGCTGGAAAAGAGTGGACACACCACAAAGGGGGATCGTTGATTGCCTCTGTCTTCTTCAAAGCAGCCCACCCCAGACTCATGAGGCTTAGTCATCTCGTGACTCTGAATCGTCTCAAAGAAAACACTTCCTCCCGTTCCTACCACCTACTCGGGAGGGCCCCTTGCTGGTGGCTTGCTGGGCCCATTCTTTCTTAGCATCCCATGTCCACCTGTAGTTATTTGGGGACCGTCCCATAGACAGTCCCCGTGTGCGGTACTGAGTGCAGTGTTGGTCTGTCCCCTCCCCGATCCCTGAGCTCATCTGTTCCTCACACTTGCGCTCTGCAGCCAGCTACTGAGGTTGCAGGGTTTCCCAATGAACTTGGGCCTCTTCCCTTTTACTCCCAGAATGCTTTGTAGCCAATCTCGGGCGCCCCCTTTTGGATATCTGGGGTATTGCCCTCTCTGGCCTCTGGGGCTGTTTTCCACCTACCTCTCTGCGTCCCAGTGGACCCTCTCTGGCCAAGCTGACCACCCCGCCCGCCCCAAGCAGCTGGCTCATGCTGGGTATGTAAACAGGTTCATTGCACAGGCTCAAAGGTGTTTTTTAAAAACATGTTTAAGGAATTTTCTTTGGAACGGTCTACTCATAGCTCACCTGTAGCGATAACTTTGTGGCTTTTTAATAGTTAATTAACCATATAAATATTTATTGAAGACCTTCTATGCTCGAGTATTGTACCAAGCCCTAGAAAAACAAAGCCCTTACCCTCCCTCCCTCTCTTCCCAAATATTTAGTATTTTGCTAAGTACCTAGAAATTCTAAGAGGAATAACATACAGTCCTACCTAGCCCTCAGGTGGCTTTCCATCTGGTTGGTGACTCAGAGATGCGAAGGGAGAACTCAATTACAAATAGATGTAATAACTGCAGTGCTGGGAGTGAGTGTGTGTGTGTGCTGGTGGCAGCGGCGGCGGCGGCGGGGTTTCTACGCGTACTTTAGCCTGGGGAGGGTCAGGGAAGCTTCCGGAGGGAGTGACCCTGGAGCCGAGGTGCAAGGCAGCGGCGTCTGTCTGGGGTAGACAGTTTGCATGTGCCAAGTGCAGGGGGCATCCGTGCCAAGGTCCTGAGGCAGCACCCTTCTGGGGTGTGTGTGTGTGTCGGGGGGCAGTCAGGGCGGGGAGGGGGAGGGGGCATTACAAGGAGTGTGGACTGGGACGTGCTCTGGAGCAGCCGGGGATGCACCTGGGAGTGTCCCCGGGGCCCTTCGTAAACAGCCTTGTCGGGGGGCAGGGATCCTGCAGGGGGCGAGGCCGTTCACGGTGGAGAGGGCCATGGTTCGTTTTGCATTCAAAGAGACTTGGAATATGATTTATGTGGTCCAGTGCCCCTTAGCGAAAAGAGAAAAGATACAAGAGAGAAAGGAGGCCGACCGGTAATGGTAACAGTGCAGGTGTGGGGCACAGAGGAGGGATTGCGGGGCCTGGGAGGTGAAGAGGGCCAGGACGCCGGAGGGTGGGAGGGCCGAGGGGAAGGCTGTGACCTGAGCACCCAGCGGGGAGGGGGGGCGGGGCTGGGGCGGCTCAGGGGAGCTCGGGGCACAGGGTCGAAGGCCTGTGTGCAGCCAAGGGGATCCCGTCGTTTACTGGAGTTGGTGGACTTACTCCTGAAAGGCTCTCGGAGAGAAACTGAGCCAGACGGCCACACAGCGAGTCAAGGGCAGCCTTGGCCCAGACGGACAAAGGGCCTGAGTGTGGTTTGAATGTTTCCCTGTTGACAAGAGCCGGAAAGCTCCGGGCAAGTCCGCGCTCCTCCGTAAGTACCTCCCGCGGGGGACAGAGTGGGCTGCCTCCCTGTTCTACTGTCCCCCCACGTCCCAGCAACGGAACCAGCCCACGTGCCGACATACTCACAGCTTTATGATGTCCAGTCCAAACATGCTAACCACGATGTAGCAGGCGGCTTTTAAGAACATCTTTTCTAAGAAAAACAAAGAGGGGAAGTGGAATATTTTTTATTAGGATGAATTTAACACGTGAGTTACTAATGACCATCTTTGCTCGGAGCTGAAGCTGAGTGATTCATTGATCATTAATTCAAGTCGTTAATTTTACGGGTCCAGGGGAATGTTACAGTTAACGTAGCCACTAAAAAATGGCATTTCCATTGCGGGTTTTTCGAGAATGCCTGTTTGTTTCCTGCGCCTGCGAAAGATCGCCTGTTTATTTTAAAACCAGAGTTAAATTCTGGGGTTTTGTTTCATTTTCCATAGCAGCGCACAGCTGATCGCTGGGGATCTCGGTTGTGGACGCTGAAAGAAGCAGGACTCGCTTTAAAGTAAATAATCTGAGATACCGTTTGGTGGAAAAGATTCTTCTCCGGTGTTCACCCCAGGGGGGAAATGGACTTCACTTTGGCTGCTCGGTTTTTGCCGGGGGTGTTTCAGGGGTGAAAGGGGGCTCACAGTCACAGGGGGCCTTGCCCTGCCGTCCACAGCAGGGGACACACACACACACACACACTCACTCCCCTCCCCCGTTAGGAGAGGACGGGAAAGCTCTGTGCACAGTGAAACGTGGTAACTCCCTGCTCCCGCGTCTCCCATTTGTGGTTTACTGTGGAACCCTGGTAACCCCACGCAGGACCTTCGCATAGTCGGGGACAGATCGGGGCTGTCCGGGGAAGGGCGGGAAACCCTCTCCGGGGAGATTTCATTTTGTCGCGCTGCTCCTCTCGAACGGGGCTGCCCTTGCTTGGAGGTAGGGTAGTGAGCAAACAGGATAAAGACACAGAACTCTCTCTGGTTCTTCACTTCTGCTCGGTGGTAAATAATGTCAATATTGCTTTTATATTAAAAGAGCTATGGTTATAGAACTTTCCTTTGTTACAATAAGGCATAAGACTTCAAACACCTTGTGCTTTAGAAGCAGGAACTTAAAACTCTATCCCCGTGTTACTTTTGACCTTACAGAAATTAAAAAAAAAAAAACAAACCAAAAAAACAACTAGGAGATTATACTATGAACATCGCCGTGACGACAGCAAATTCAATGACTTAGATGAAATGGAAACATTCCTAGAAAGACAAACCGCCAAAACTGACTCCAGAATAAATAGATACTCGGAACCGACACGTAACAAGAGATTAAATTAGTTATCCAAAGTTTCCTCAAAGAGAAGCTCCGGCCCAGATGGCGTCACCGCACTGCACCAGCTATTTCCCTAAAGCATCCGAACACACATTTCTGCGAAGAAGATACATACACATGGCCAGTAAGCACGTGAAAAGACGCTCAGCTGTTAAAGAACTGTAACTCGAAACCACGATGAGATACAACTTTGCACCCGCACTGAGATGCTAGAATAGGAATGACAGCTGGTAACACACGTGCTGAGGAAGGAGGCTGTGGAGGCACTGGAGCCTCACACCCTGCTGGGGGGGGGGGGCGTGGGATGGGAAGCGGGGCAGCCGCTGTGCTTGACAGCCTGGCGGCTCCCCAAATGGTTCGACACAGACCGACCGTGTGAGCCGACACTTCCACTCCTAGGTACTTACTACCCCGGAGACCCAAACACGTGCATTTCCACAACATCTCGTACAGGAACGGTCAGAGCAGCAGAATTCAAAACAGCCCAGAAGTGGGAAAAGGTCATCCCGAATGTCCACTGACTAATGACTGGATGGGCAAAAGGGACGCATTCACACACACCACGGAACCTTATTCGGCGCACGGAGCGGTGAGCTCCTGACACAGGCTACAATGGGGATGGCCGCGGCCAGCGTCCTGCAGACGGGAGAGGCCGCTACGGAAGACCGTGTCTCTCAGGATTCCGTTTATCTGAAAGGCCCAGCACAGGCAAACTCACAGAGACAGACAGGAGATGGGTGGTTGCTCGGGGAGTGGGAGGGAGGACACTTTGGGGGATTGCAGGGAAGGGGTGTGGTCCCTTTTCGGTGTAATGAGAAGGTTCTAGAACTGATTGTGCGGAGGGAGGCTCCACTCTGTGAATACAGTAAAGGCCGTTGACCTACACACTTCACGTGGGAGAATTGCACGGTATGTGAATTATATCTCAATGTAACTGTTTAAAAATAACCTATGCTCTTCTCCCTTGGTGCCCCTTTTAGGGGACTGTGGTGCAGGGCGTGCGGGAGCTCTGAGCTTTCACAACTCAGAGACCCGAGCCTCAGCCCCGGCTAACGGCTCTGCCCTTCGCCGGCTTCCTGCCCCAACCCTGGCTGGGTTGCAGCCCCCTCATCTGAGAGGTGAGCCGTCGTAGGGTGCAGCCCCCTCCCTACCCCACCTGGGGAGTTTGGAGCGGTCAGCGTCATGGGGGAAGCACTTTGGAAGCGAGATGCAGGTGTTGCTGATGTAGAATGGACTTGGCCAAGAGCAGAGCGATGTCAAGACCGACCCCAGGGTGTTCTTCGGCAAACTTGAAGTACTGCCTGAAAGGCAGAGAAAATTTGTTTTCTTTCTGGTAGAAACCTCTTGTTAGAGGTGCGTGTTTGTGTTTGTGTGTGTGTGTGTGTGTGTGTGTATTTTTAGAACCTTGTTCTGCTCAGTGGAAGCAAGGCTGTCATCCTCTGAGGGGGATCAGGCCAACGCTCGGTTTCCTCACATGGGTTCGGTGATGGTTAAGAGGGAGGGGCTGCCTGGCTGGCGTGGCTCAGTAGGTTGGAGCGTCGTTCTGTGGACTGAAAGGTCATGGATTCAATTCCAGGTCAGGGCACATGCCTGGGATGCAGATTCGCTCTCCAGTCAGGGCGTGTGTAGGAAGCAACCGGTTGATGTTTCTCTCTCACACAGATGTTTCTCTCTGTCTCCCTTTCTCTCTTTCTCAAAACAATAAAAAAAGAGAGTGTGTTAGGGCTCCTGGAGCACTAACAATGGCGTGACCTGAGATGGCCCTCCGAGGGCCAAGTTCTAGGTTGACACTGAACAGTGCAGAGCAGAGGTGTATGTGCAAAGTCTTGGGGAAGAGCCAGACAGGCCCTGGCGGCCACGATCAGGTGGCACCGTCACCGACACCCCTGAAGAAAAAAGACCGGCACTAACATCTTGCCAGCAACCTACGTGACATAAAATGTACATGGTTAAGTTGTGCCTGTGCCCAGGGAGGCACAAGAGCGTGCGATTTCCAAAGCGTGGCAAAGATGTGGAACAGCATGGAAAAAAAGAGAGGCCATTGCCAAGGGCAAAGAAGGGTTAAAAAAGTAATTGCGCAGTCATCCTACATTAGGAGTATCCACTGGGTGGGGGGTGTGCAAATGAAACATAGAACATTCCGGATTCTAAGTCACCTTCATGTTGGCCATTACTTCTGCCTCTCAAGACCCTCTGGAGAGCGTGGTCATTTTCACCGTCATTTTGTACGAATGGGCACTGAGGTTTAGGGAGGTTTAGGGAGCCAATGACCTGCCCATGTCCCAGACACAGTCAGAGGTTCAGTAAGAGTTCAAAATCTTTTGCTGCAAAAGCCCATGCGATTTGTCCTGTGCATTTCAACGTACTCGGGGTGTTTTATTTGGTGCCTCCTCTGTCTCAGGTGTGGCAGGGACTGATACACAGTAGCCACTGATGAGAAATTTGAAACACAGTGGGATGAACTGACCACAGAGCCAGCTTCGTGGCTGTGCGTGGGTGGGCAGAAGGAGGTTCACAGTCGTCTGTATGGAACATGGTAGAATAATAAATGAGGACACAAGAGGAAACTGTTTTTGCGTACTCACAACAGGAACCCATCTTTCACCCGCCCCAGTTCATTCTAGGCCACAGTAGACTTCCAGAGCCCACGGGACGAGAGGGGAGCTGCCGTGCTCCCTGGAAGTCCGCGTGAGTTTTTCCACCACCGTATGACCATACGGAGATAAGATTTCCGCATAGGTGACCCGAGAAGGTGAAGTTCTAGCAAGACGCTCAGGGCATGTGAGTCCTCTGACCCCTGGTGAGCGTGATTCCATTAATCATTTTTTTCCGTTAAGGAGTCTGAGCTCCTTCCAAGGTGTTTACTAATGAGAGCCAGAGGCAAACGCAGTGGGTGAAGCTGAAGGTCAGAAACACTTTGTACAGTGCAGAAAAACTCTCTCCCCGGCACACACGGGAAAGAAAGGCTGGCTGATGTGCTGAGCTGTGGTTCCCAGAGAGGGCCCTTCCGTGCCTTCTCGGCTGAGGTGATGTTTCTGTACTCGATTAGCTGTGGCGATGCAAGCGATACGGCTCCAAACATTAGGGATAATAATAACTGCATTAACGCGCACGGTTTCATGTCCTCCGACTCCCACTCTCCCAGCTCGCCGGACAGAAGGCAACGCAGGGAGCAGGTGGCACTGTGGCCCGGGATGATTATTTTCTCGAGGCATCCTTAGCTAGGAGACAGTCTTTGTCGTCTGATAACTCACGTGACCACTCTGTGCACGGTGTAACACCCTCATAAAGGGGAAACAAGCAGTCATCCCCACCTGCCGCCTTTATGTCTGATCTGCCACGAGAAAGAGCCTTTCGCCTGAACTGAGTACCTTATGTCCATCCAGGGGGGAATGTTAATTATTACAATGCCAGTAACCCCAGTGACAGACTCCTTAATCCTTTGAAATTCCTCCACATTCCGAAGGTGACTGACCTCTGAAAACCAAAATGCCCACTTTGCTTCCCCTGATGAAATAGGAGCTTTCACTTTTCCAGAACTGACTTCCAGCCTCTCGCTGTACCTCCGCAGACGCTGAGATTTCCTGCTATGAGTCAGAGGGGGCTGAGACGGCCCCTTGAGTACCAGCGATCTTGGTTTGGGCCGCCTGTGTTTTGCGAGTATTTTTAGGACGGGATAATTTAGGAAATAAGATTATGACTCAGCCTTTCAATTTTTGGACCACACCACTGTGCCTAAAGAGAGAAAACGAAACTCAAGGTACTGATGGTATCATCTGTCAGTGTGGTCGGTCACACGGAAATGACAGCCGATCAAAACAAGTCTCGGTA